AGCTAAGTGTACAAAAGTAATTCGCAGAATATAAGACACATGGTAAGTCTCACCTGTGTGGACCCACATAGATTATTTGTGATTAATTTTTTTGCCCTGCTTCTGTATTTGTAGCAAAGTTCACCAAATAAACATACCCAGGTCTTCAAAAATTCTGGACCACTACAATTGATAGATGAATAAAGCAAATTATATTATCGACCATGGGTATTTTGTTGTCATTGTAAAAGGTAGAATCAAATACCTATCATCTCGAAAAGTATTTGTTACCCCCACCATTTCTGACCCATTGCTAATATGTTTTTGATAAATTATAAATATATTTTTTAAAATTTGTTTAAAATATGACTTGCTTCTTATAATTTTAAAAATTGTAAATACTTCTTTGTAAGAATTTTGATTTAATAGAATGAACAGAAAAAATAAAATTTTTAATTACTCATATATAATAATAAAATCACCTAAGTTGTTAATTAAAATATATTTATGACATCATTAAAAATTATTAATTAACTTGATAATGTATTCTTAACAAGAATAAGTTATTACAACTAGAGACTTCAAGGGATAAAATATAATTTTTAAAACCACAAGAAATAATTTGTGATTGAAGCAAATTTCAAGAGATGTATTTATAATTTACCTATTATTTGTTTAAAGTAGTGCCGGTGATCCTAAGATATCACTCCAAAATTTTTGTCCGCTGATTTATTAGGAAATTAAATATTAGTTGACTGATTCCTAAACAAATTAAATTTATTTATTAATTGACCGATTCCTAAACATATTAAGTTTACGTCATTGGAAGGCAATTTGGATGCGAAGTTTTAAGAGTCTTAATTTTTATTTTTGCAAAAAAAAAATTTTTTTAGTAGAGAACGAAACCGACACGAGTTTCAGATTTATAGCACCTAGTTCTATTCCAGTCAAAAGTCCATACAGATGTAAATATTAAAAAAAAAATGGAGGAAGAATGGTTTAGATCATGATCAAGAAAGCAGATCAATATCAATTGATTCGACCCCCTTTGGGGTCACCCCCATGATTAATTTGTAAATTTCCCATGTGAAATTGGTTACCAGCTGCTTTTTCAGACTTTTCAAAAGCTATCTAGTGCAATGCATATGTTGACTATTTCAGAATTAGGCCTCATTTGATAAGCGTTTTTTTTAGTGAAGAAGTTAAAAAAATATTAAAAAAATTAAAAAATCAATAATACATACTAAAAAGTTAAAAATTCTATTTTCTCTCTATTTTTTTGAACATCTTTTCATAAAAAGACAAAAAGTCATCTCAAACATATTAGTTTTTTTTAGTTCATATTTTAGTCAAATAATTAAAAAAATACTAGATTAACTTGTTCCCAAACGAAACCTTAGTACAACAGAAAAACATGACCAAATAATGAAGATTTCTTCAACATTCTAGATAGACAACACAGCTAAATACCGTGTTCCTATACTTCTGTTTCTACGTTGGTCACATGATTTTAAATAACCCTATAGGAATATATATTGACATCAATAATACAATTATATATTGGTTAATATAAAAGAATAACAATATATCAATAAATAACGATTTAGAAGGTCATGACTGTGTTAATGAATAATACGATAGGTAATGATCAATATTTAAAATTTGACTGGTGACATTTATTTGCACGCATTTGAAACAAAAAATTACAAATGCTAAAATCCCCAGTTGAAATGGTAATTGGGGGATAAGAGGGGGGAACTATTTGGCATGTAATTTAAAAATGAGTAATGTTAGGGATCATGAAAAAATATCATAAAGATAATCATGAAAAAATTTTCACCTTTAGATTATACATACAATAAAACACCACACACTAATCAAATGATGAAAAATTTTCATGATGCACCTTACGATATTTTTTTTATGATCCCTAATATTATTCTTTAAAAATTATCAAGCCACTAACATGCGCATATACATATGAGAAATGTTAGGGATCATGAAAATTTTTTCATGAAAATGATCATGAAAGATTTGTGACCCTTAGATTATCTTGATTAGTATGTGGTGTTTTATTCTAAGTGTAATTCAAAAATCACAAATTTTTCATGATTATTTTCATGAAAAACTTTTCATGATACCTACCATTGCTGTATACATATATACAAAATTATCTTGTATTTGTCTACGCATAATCACTCCTTAACCGTAATACCATTAATTAGATGACACTTCACCCTTATTTTTATTGCATTTCCCCCCTAATTTGATTGCTTTAGATTTTAATGTGAAAAAAATCTAAGCTCCATGTGAGCCTTGTTCGATCCGAAACACTAACCTGCCCATATACGTATATACAATATCAATTCGACGCCTTGTTTGATCTGAAACAAGATCTAATAATTTCTCCGACCCATCAAGGCACCATCCATAGAATGTCACGAGATTTTGGTGTGGTCAACTGAAGCCATTTCCACTTAGAACCTCCATTTCAGCTCGGAACGCTTTTTCACCCTTGATACCGTCTCTTTACCGCTACTTTTCTCCCATCGGGCAACAATTCTCTGTACACAGTTCCAAATCCTTCCCTCCCGATAACTCTATCATCCGAGAAGTTCATTGTAGCCTTCAAAATGTCGTCATGTGTAAACATTGCTTTGTCTAGACGAATGGCCTTTACAGTACTTGACAAACATGGAGAAGACGTGCCTGAATTTGACAAAAAGTCATGTTGGACCTTTGTATCCTTCAAGACATATTCAGGCGTGTATACCGGACTCTTCTTATGAGTGTTAGAATCCCACACACTAGAAAGGCCATTATCAGAGCCGTAACCACCAAAAATGGACCTAATTTTACACGCTTCATCGGTTTCTTTTCATTTTTCGTTGTTGGACTATCTGTGGTGTTCTTCAAGAATGAAGGCAAGCGTAAAAATGGGTCGCCGAGGAAAGACTCTTTCTCAAATGTTGCCAATTGTCCGGTTATTGGGATTTTGCCAGTGATGGATGGATTGTATGACACGTTGAACTTGTTCAATTCACTTAAATTGTTCAAGTTTGCTGGGAAAGCTCCAGAGAAATTGTTGCAAGATAAATCAAGGGTTTGTAAGCACTTGATGTTCCCAATCTCGGCTGGAATTTCACCAGAAAACTTGTTTTGTGAGATGCTGAGCACTACGAGTGGCATTAGTCCAATCTCTGGAGGAAGATCACCAAAAAATCCATTAATCCCCAAATGCAACATACTAAAGTTTTGCATCTTACCAATCTCAATTGGGATTTCACCGGACAATTGATTACCACCGAGTTGAACATAACCCGAGATCTGAAATGTCCGCAAACCACCAGCACACGCCGGGAATATGCCATTCCCTTTAAGCATACTATCCCAAATGCTTCTACATTTCTTCATTGTAAGAAGTGTATACGCAAAACTAAATGGAGGGTAGTTTGCCGGTATCCACCTCTTCATCGCTAGACACTCGCCTGAGCCAGCAATAGCCCGATCATTCTGTCTATTTTGTTGGAACGTTGGCGTTGCGTTAATCCCAATTTTTGTCAACTCAGATGGGATTGGCCCAGAAAGTTGATTGTTTGCGAGGTTTAACCATAACAAGCTCCTGCAATTCCCCAACTCGGGTGGGATTTCACCGGTTAGTGCATTGTTGGCGAGCATCAACCACAAGAGTGAGCTCAAATTTCCAAAACTTCGCGAAATTGATCCGTTTAGCATATTGAAGGATAGATCAAGAACTTGGAGGCCTTGCAAATTTCCATACTCGAGAGGAATTTTTCCGGTAAATCGATTGTAAGCAAGAATCAAGAACTTCAAGCTTGTCATATAAGAGATTTCGACCGGTAATGGACCTGAAAAGTTGTTGAAGCTCAAGTCTAATCTGGAAATGTTCTTCAAGTTGAGAATTCCTGATGAAATCATCCCACCGATGTACGAATTCGAATGCAATACAAGAAACTGAACCTGATTGAATCGCCCGAAAATGTCTTGAATGTCACCTTCAAAATTGTTTGTGCTCAAATCCGAAAAGGTCAAGTTTCCCAACCCAAGCAAAGACTCTGGAATTTTTCTCGAGAAAGTGTTGTTTCCCAAGAAAAGTCCTTTCAGGCTCGAAATTTCACCAATCTCTGCTGGAATTTGACCCGTGAAATTGTTTTCCGATAGATTCAAAACCTCCAATTCTCTACAGTGTGAAATTTCCTTAGGAAATTCCCCGGCAAAAGCATTTCCCGACAAGTCCAACAATTTCAGAGTACAGTTTCCGGGAAAATTTGCCCGGAAAATCGCCCCAACTAACTGGTTTTCGGAAACAGAAAATTCGCGAAGCCTCGCGAAACCCGGCCAGACATTGCCGGAGAAATTGTTGGCGCTCAGGTCAAGAAACTGCAAATTCCAGCATGAATCGAAGTGATAGAAAACAGAGCCGGTGAAACTGTTGGTTGATAAATTGGCTAAAACCAAACTGTCACAAATTCCCGGGAAAGTTAACTGAATTCCACCGGAAATTCGGTTCAAGGACACGTCGAGAACCTCCAATTTATTGAGTCCGGTCAAGTTGAGCTCGCCCGCAATGAGATTGTGAGACAAATTCAAAAATTTTAGGCTCTGGCACCGCCTAAGTCTGCCGGAATTTCACCGGAAATGGTGTTTCCGGAGAGATTGAGGTGGGTTAGGGCGGTGAAAGCCGAGAAGTTTCCGAACATGCCGCCGGAGATTTCGCTGCCAGAGAGGTCAATGCCAGTGACACGGTCTCCAAAGCATGAAATTCCGGGCCACGCGCAAGGGGGCGTGCAGGGTTGATTCCAGTCGGAGAATCTTCCTCGATTTATGTGATTCTGATCTTCGAGGAAGATTTTTAAGCTCACCAATAGGGGTGGGCGCGGGTCGGTTGCGGCCACGGAACCTCCAATCCGCCATCCGTCTGCCAGATTGGCGGATTGAAGAAAATCAATCCGCATCCGTCCGCCAATCCGTCGAGAACCTCCAATTTATTGAGTCCGGTCAAGTTGAGCTCGCCCGCAATGAGATTGTGAGACAAATTCAAAAATTTTAGGCTCTGGCACCGCCTAAGTCCGCCGGAATTTCACCGGAAATGGTGTTTCCGGAGAGATTGAGGTGGGTTAGGGCGGTGAAAGCTGAGAAGTTTCCGAACATGCCGCCGGAGATTTCGCTGCCGGAGAGGTCAATGCCAGTGACACGGTCTCCAAAGCATGAAATTCCGGGCCACGCGCAAGGGGGCGTGCGGGGTTGATTCCAGTCGGAGAATCTTCCTCGATTCATGTGATTCTGATCTTCGAGGAAGATTTTTAAGCTCACCAATACTTCTTTATCAAAATCTAATAACTCTCCCACAACAATTGTACCTAAATCATTAAAATCATCAGTAAATTTAACTCAAAAGATTGTTGGGTTATCAATTTCAAATCAAACCCACAAAATCTATCATCTTTCAAAGCCCAAAACCAAATTTTCAAGGCTGAATTTTCATGGAAAGTTTGAGAAGAAAGTTGGATCACAAAACCCAAATGAAAAAGAAAACAAGAATCACAAGTAGAGGGAGAATGAATTGGATTAGTACCTATAGTTAAGAGTAATAAAAATATTAACGCGACGCGAAAAGCATGATGATCGACTCTGTCATTTGACATGATCTGTGTGCACAATCTAATCTTCTTCTTCTCTGTTTTTTCTAGTTCATTCAGAGTTGTTGGATGGGTGTTAGATTAAGGCCAAATTTGACATGATTAAAAAAAGACGAAAGGTCAAAAAATCACTATCCTATTTAAGTCACATCATCTTATTTAAATCACATCACCTCTCTAATACATCACTTCAAACCTAACCCAAATCTAACCCATATTTCATAAAAAGTCAAAAAATATACTTATTTAGTCTTCCCAAACTAGGCCTAATAGAGAAAGAGAGAGATTAATATAGAATGTGGGAAATGAAAGTGTTTAAATTTAATTTTGATGGGTTAGTTTTTGTTTTTAAGAGAGTTGAATATTTGATGTGTTAAAGACTAATATTGTTTGCTTTGGTGAACAGAAGAACACGAGGAGGTTAGAAGAACTTGGAGGAAAGGTGTAGCACCAGGAGGGACGAAAAAGAGCCGCCGCTTTTCAAAACTCAAAAATCATTAGGGCTTGTTTGTCCTCTCTTAAAAAAAATTAAAAAGTTAAAAAGTTACTATTCTATTTAAATCACATCATCTTATTTAAGTCATATCACTTTTCTATCGCATCACTTCAAATTCAATCCATACCCAATCTATATTTCATAAAAAATTAAAAAATACATTTATTTAGAACATCTCAAACAACTCCTTAGTCTTCAATTTTGAAGCCGCGGAGGTTAGACTATTGATTTTTTAGTCTTTGATGTGTTAAAGACCAATGATTTTTGAGTTTTGAACAAAATTATATTATAATAACAAAAATCAAAGTGCATAAAAAACAATTTCCAGGAAATTAAGGGGAAACATTCTTCCAATACTGGTACAATACTCTTTCAATGGTGTCTCCCCAAGGTCGGAGTAACATTGCTCTCCTGGGCCGGAGTATCCATTACGGCCTTTTTACCTAGTCCTTCGTGTTTTGGGCCTCAATGCCCAACTCGCAGCTCGGCCCAATTTTCCCAAAAATTACCCTCTCAAATGGTAAATGGAAACTTCAAAGAAATTAAAGAAGAACTTATGAGAAACTCTACAAAAATTACATCAAAACTTGATGAATTTGTCACAAAACATTTTTATAGGGCTAAAATAACAACATTGTTAAGTGCATAGATATAAAATATAGAATGGGACACAAATGTATGAGACATCAGTGTTCCATTTTATATTTTTAGGGTGAGTTTGACATATTAAAAAATCAATTTCTAATTTTTTTTATCTTTGTAAAAAATTTATATTTTTTAGGTCCATCTTATGTCGATGAATTTAAAAAGGATAAATTACAAATACACTCCTGAGATTTGATTAAAATATAAATCCCTCATGTAGTTTGAAAATTACATTCCACTCCTGAGATTTCTAATTTCATAACAAATCGTCTATTTTATTAATAGGGTTGGCTTTGGTCCAGTCCGCCATCGGACTGGACCGTGCTGTTGGGCCCGTGGGGGCCCACCACAGGTTCCGTTTTGAAAATTTGAACCGTTCAATGTGTACAACTCGTCGAGTACTATATGGCTGAAACAAATCACATTGATCGGATATCGATAGCTATGTGATCAAATCAGTTTTATATAAAAAAAAATGGACGGTGAATAAATTAACGGTTGATAAAAAACTGTTTTGATCACATAGCTATCGATATCCGATCAATGTGATTTTTCACAAGCATATAGTACTTGACGAGTTCTACATATTCAACGGTTCAAATTTTCAAAACGGGACCCGTGGTGGGCCCCCCGCGAGCCCAACAGCACGGTCCAGTCCGATGGTGGACTGGACCAAAGCCAGGCCCTATTAATAAATCATTAAGTCAATTAACAGTTTTTAATGATGTTAAAAATATGTTTCAATTAATAATTTAGGTAATTTTATTATTGTATAGAAGAGCAATTATGAATTTCATTTTTTAATTAATTCTGTTAAATAAAAAGTTGTAATAAGGAGGTATTTGTAATTTTTCAAATTACAGGGGGTAATTTGCATTTTAAACAAACATCGGGGGATGTATTTGTAATTTACCCATTTAAAAAGGAGAAAAAAATGTAAATTAAATTATATATATATATATTTTAAAAAATTAGGTAATGTTTGGTTTAGTTTTTAAATTAATATTTAGATGGAAAAAAAAAGTTTGGTTAACAAATTATCAAAACTCTTTTCAAAATTATTTTTTTCTCTCTCCTTCCCTCTCTCTCTTTTTTTTTAATAAATCAATCAATCACTTTTTTTTCTCTCATCTCTTGTCTCTTATTTTCTCACATTCTACACATCAATCAATTAAATTTTCTTTTACATCCATCTATTCAATAAAAAAAAATAAAAAAAATTACAAATTGTGTGAGTGATTTTCTGATCACATTGCCCATTTAGTAATCAGCTAGAGAGCACCGGCAGAATATATGGCTTCAGCTAACCTGTAACAGAAAGAAAAGGCTCCAGCGGTGGTTCTACCACCCGGGAGTACTCCGACGATCAAGTCAGTATATCTCTCAAAGATAATCAAGTGCTAAACTCACTACTCAAAGCATATAATTGCGTACCTTAGATCCACGGGGGTGCCTCTCTTTTATAATTTACTTAATCCTAATCCCACCAGAAACCTGACTTCTATGGACTCCAACTCAGTATTTACTTTGGGCTCCTCAAGAGATAAAGATAAAACTCCCTAAGAGATTTATCCTCATCTTGACTAAGTCCCCTCTTCATTCTAGGACTCTTGTCCCTTATCCGTTTATCTCGGATTCCGATATCTTCGGAGAAAACCTCGGCCTAGCTGAGATAACCTCGGCGCCACGACCAAGACACGTGGCACCTCGGCTGACACATCGGCGTCACCTTGCCACGTGTTGGTACTCAGAAAATATATCCCCACAACTGCCCCCTAGGTTCTGTTACCCCGGCATTCTGAGGTGATGGAACCTACATCGATACTTCCTCTTGTATATCGGCTTAAGAACTCCTCAGCCGAGATCATTCATTTCAGGTTGACATGTTCTCTTCAGAGAACAAGAATTCCAGTGAACTCTTTCACGTGTATGAGCTGTCACGCATCATTTACTCAACCGTTTCATTCACGCGTCTTTACCTCATTGGACCATGTTCATGACGCGCTTGCAAGCCGTCTCTCCCTCACGTGCGCCGTCTGACGCATACGTTCTTCTAGGCGTATTGATTACTTTTTGCCGCCGTTTTCATTTTTGACAAAAACTTTTCCCCCTTTCTTCATTTTTCAACTTTGCATTCGATTTCTCTTCGCTTTTTCTCTCTCTAGCTCCTGGATACGCCATTATTCCAGTATTCAAGCTCTGCAATTGTCTTCCGTTCTCCTTTCCTGTGAAGCTTTCGTCGTCCTCGTTACATTTGTAACTGTCGTCTGACTTCGGCAATCTTCATACCGGCTTCATATTTTCTGGTAAGCAACTGTTTCTTTTGTTTTCAATTCTGTTAATATTCTTCATTACTTGTGGCCTTTACTGCATCTGTTGAAACTTTTGATTTTGCGATTCATACACCTGAATGTGTCATTCTCATGATTTTGCCTTTGCCCATATTTTGAACACACGCATTGTTTCACTACTTCCCTGTATCTTTGTGACTAATCTTGGCCCTATATTTCTTGTATTTTTTATGCTCTTGATAAACCACCTCTGTTCTTGATTCTGAAATTCCATTCTTGCTTTCTGATTTTTGTGTCTTTTCTAGATCTGTGCCTTTGATCTTCATCTCCATAGTTTTAGGTTTAGGATTTGTTTGTAGAACCCACGATTTAGGGCAAAACTGAAACATTTCTTACAAATTTCTGTACCAGCCCAAACCTAGGTTTTTGCCGAGGTCCCATCAATAAGAAACATCTTTTTTCTAAATTTCAACCCTTCTAATTTAGGCCGATATCATGGGTATGTGGAGACATAGGGTATATACCCCGACCAAACTTGAGTACTTGAGGCAAGAGTTCTCTATCCCTGCCGATGTCCATCTAAGGCTGGCTGGGGATGATGACTCCATCATCATGCCTACAGAAAACTCCATGCCCTTTCCCATTGTAGCTTTTATTGAGTGTGGACTCCGGCTCCCACTCAACATCCTTTTTCACGAGATTCTTCACTTTTATAAGTTGAACCCTATGCAACTGGCAATCAATTCCTATCGAGTGATCTTTGATATAATTGCCTTAGCTAGACAGAAAAACGTTAGGATCACCCTAGCCGATATCCAGTATTGTTATACCATGTGTGCCCTTAATTTGAAAGAAAAAGGCTATATTTATTACCTTAAGCCGAGGTCTACAGAATTCAAAATCGTAACCGACCTCCCAGACTCCAACAAGGGGGCTGGAGATGACTATCTCATTACCTCGGGAAATTAGGAGTTTGCTCCAGAAGAGGACATCTATCTCTACCCTCTTCCCCGATCAGTTTTAAAGGGCAAAGGTAAGAGCCCAGTATTCAGCTTTGCCTGTTTTCTTCAAAGTCTTAAATACTTTGTCTGTTTCTGACGTTTGTTCTTCTTGCAGCTGTTCGTCAACCACCGAAAAATTTTCGCCAATCTTTTGTTCCCAGCAAGGATTTGAAGAAACTTTTGGACTTGCCAATCCATAAGAGAAAAGCGCCTCTGCTCCTCAATTTTATTCCATCATACAAGTCGACTTTGCCCGACGTTTCCAAAAGGAAGAAAAAAAGCCTTTCTCTACCCTCTGCTACAACCCCATTGATTGCATTTACATCACGAACAGATCAAGGATCAACATCTGATCCAGCTGATCAGCCATCTTCTTCAGCTCCATACTTGATTCCAATTGCAGAAAGAAAACGTCAGCGACGACTTGTCCTTACTGCCGAAATGGGTCGCCCTAAGCCTACTGCCAAAGATCTTCTGGCCAGCATTCCATCATCTGTTGATGAGCAGCCAACCCAAACCCTTCCTCCATCGAAGCCAAAGAGAATAAAAAAGGCTCAACCAAAGCCTAAGGTAACTCAGGTCGAGTCCAAAGATAGCCTGCCTATCTCAAAGTTGGCGGAGAGTGACAAACCTTAACCCTCTGCTGGGAAGAGGCGCTCGGAAACCCAGCCATCAGAGTCCCCAAAATCCAAAAAGCCGTGGTCTTTTTCCGCTACGACTTCGGGATCCAAGAAGAGTGATGCCTCCTGGTCGCCAAAAATTACTCTGGAGGACAAGCCAGTCTTGGCTACTGACAGTGCCGATGACATCAATGTCGGCGTAGCCCTAATCACAGCTCTGCTCCTTCCCGGCGACCTTTATCGCAACGCCGAGTTGAGCGAGTACGAGAATTATGCGTTGATGCTTCAACGCTCCGTTCAAGTAAGTGTTTTCTTCTTGGTAATTTTCTTTTTTTTGTTTTGTATTTAGAAAATTTTGAGCTAATTTTTGTCTTGTGTTCTTTCAG